CTCTCCGGCTCTCTCTCTCTCTCTCTCTCTCTCTCTCTACTTCGCCCGAAAAGGTGGATCCCTGCCCGGGCAGGCAGGCCCCGTTGGCACCGTTAATCACTCATCTATCAACCGCACATCCGTTAACCTCGCAGCCCGTTCCCGGCTCCTGCTCCTCCCCCGGGGGCACGCAGCATCCCGCCGCACCACCCCGGCACTTTGGGGGTCTCACCCAGGTTTGCAGCAGCTCCCAGCCCCCCAGGGACGCGCCTGAGCCCTGACAAGGTGCCTGCAGCAGAGGCCAGCTCTTGTTTGTGTTGAAAGGCTTTTTAAAATAAAAGGTTTCAGTCTAAGAGCATCTGCATTAAAAACCGCACGGGAGGAGAGACGCCAATGGGCACGGGCTGCACTCAGACATGGCCCCAGCGTAGGATGCGGCCGTCGGAGTCAGCCCTGGCTCCAGCCAGGATTGCTGCAGCGCTGGGTGTGCCCGGTGTGCTGGGTGTGCCCGGTGTGCCGGCTGTGCCAGGTGTGCCAGCTCCCCGCCCAGCCCTGCAGCTGTCACCGTGGCCTCAAAAACTTGGTCCCTACAAGTTCTGCAAAAAAGGGCATTTCCAGCATGTGGAGATCACGGCAGAGTGCAGAATGCACACGMATTCACACACAAACACACACTCGCAATCCCGAGGCCACACAGTCTCTCCCCCGTGCCCCCCTGACCCCAGTCCCTCTCCTCCACGGGGCTCAGAAGGATCCTGCCAGCACAGGGATGAGCAGCAGCACCAGGGGCAGCGTGGGCGACCACTCCTGCTCCTCACTGAAGCATCCAGGGGTGTCACTGGCTGCGTGAGAGGTGACACTGTCCACTCCCAGCTGCTGGAGCATTTGCCACCTTCCTGCTGCCCCAGGGTCTTGGGGCTCCTGGGGGCAACCGGCCGGGCTCCTCTCTAGAAACGGGGTCTTTTATTTCCTCGCTCAGAAAAATAGATTMATTTCCAACGTTTAAAAAAAGCGTTTAAAAAGAAGGAATGATGAAAGTGGAGGCTGGAATGAGGCTGGCAGTGGGGCTGTACATGAGACGGTGCAGAAGGGCAGAGCCATCCTGCTCAGTAGCTCTCCTCCTCCTCACGGTAGTAGTGGTAGCCRGGCAGGTCCCCGCTCTGGTCATCGGTGGCGTTGGCCACCTCGCCCTGGTTGCCCAGTGGGCAGTATTTGGGGTCGTAGATCTGGCGGCCGAGGCCGAAGACCTGCCCGCTCTGGTTGGCGCCCTGRTTGGAGCCCATCTGCAGTGACATGGAGGAGTTGTCACACTTCTCTGTCCCCATCTTGGCATCGTAGATGTGTCTCCTGGTGCCAGGGGCTGTCATGCCCACCTGGAAGGAAGGACAGGATGGAGCAGGGCTCAGCTGTTGTCCCCCCTACCCCTCCCCAGCCCAGCGTGGGGGCTCACCTGGCTGGCACACTTGTTGGTGCCCATCTGGAGGCTGATGGTGGCCTGGTCCAGGGGTTGGTCCGTGCCCAGTTTGGGGTCGTACAGGTGCCGCCGCGTCCCGTACGCCGTCATTCCCTGCTGGCTGGCGAACTTGTTGGTGCCCATCTGGAGGCTGATGGTGGCCTGGTCCAGGGGTTGGTCCGTGCCCAGTTTGGGGTCGTACAGGTGCCGCCGCGTCCCGTACGCCGTCATTCCCTGCTGGCTGGCGAACTTGTTGGTGCCCATCTGGAGGCTGATGGTGGAGTGGTCCATGGGTGGCAGGATCTGATTTTTGGGGTCGTAGAGGTGCCTCCGGGTGCCGTAGGCTGTCATGCCGGACTGGCTGGCACACTTGTTCGTGCCCATCTGACAACGGCGGCCAGTGAGGAGAGTATGTTGTCCCCACTGTGCCCTTCTCCCCCTGTCCCCATCCTCCCCAGCCCAGGGGGCACAGCCAGTGCTCCCTGACCCACCCCAGGCTCATGGCCATTTTGGCTGGACATAGAGCCACGATGGTCCCAGACCYCAAGGACACTCGAGGCATCTCAAGCCTCAGGTTCCTCCAGATGTGACAGCACTGAGGATGTGACAGAAATGGGCACCCTTTTGCCCAGACCCCCACCCTGAGGACCCAGCGGGGCAGCCCACCTGCAGCCCGATCACGCACTGCCCAGCCTTCATCTTGGCCTCGTCGAAATTCCTCTGCTGCTTCTCCGAGTACTTCACACCAATATCCACACCACTCTGCAGCCCCTTGGTCTTGGCCTGCCAGGAGCAGTGATGAGGAAGGACAGGGGTCCCTGACCCTCTCCCTGGGCAGGGGAGCTGTGGGGTCCCCACAGAGCTGAAACCCCTCCCAAGCTGCTCATCCCCCCCGTGCTCACCATTCCTGCCAGAGCCAGCAGYGACACCTGCACCTGCGTCAGGTTCCCGCTCTCAAAAAGGTCRTTGGCTTCAAAGAGGTCCACGGGGTTCATGCCATAGCTGGCCATGGCCTTGATGAAGTTGGAGAGGTTCTCGAGCTGTGGGAGGATGGAGGGGTGAGCCCTGGTGGGTGATGGCAGAGGGATAGCAGGTATGGGGTGACAGGGCTGCACCTACCTGGTGCCAGTTCTGAGCTGAGCGGTTGATCTTCCTCACCGAGTTAGGCTGCAGTTTGTTCATGAGCCTGGAGGGAGGCAGGGGGACATGAGGCTGGGGCAGGCAGAGATCCTGAGGGGCTGCAGGGCCCTTCCTTCTGGGAAGGTCCAGCCCAGGTATCCCCAATGTGAGGCAAATCCCTCCGCTCCAGGTCCCTGTCYGTCCCCAGGGCAAGCTTTGGGGGCGACTCTGGCACAGACCCAGCCCACCCTTCACCCCACAGGGACTGGCAGGGGTCCCTTGGAGGGCTGGTGCTCCCCATCCCCACCCAGCTGGAGCAGGGGCCCAGGACTCACTCGCAGAGGATCACCCCATCCTTCAGCCCCTTCTGAAAGTCAGGTCCAATCTGTTTTCCTGTGACGCTCTCTATCCACGTCCGCAGCTCAGCCTCCTTCTGTGGGTCATACTTTTGGGCGAGCTGTGGGGACAGGGCGGGGACAGCTCAGCCAGGGCCCCAGTGTGCACYCCAAACCCCTCATGGGGACATTTCCCCCTCCCTGCAATGGGAACAGGGACAGGAGTACGAGGATGATGCTGCCAGCAGACACAACTGAGCCATTGCAAAAGGATGAGAAAGAAGTGCCCAAGGGGTTAGAGGGAAGTGGCCCCCCGAATCTATCCCTCGTGTCCCCTGGAGCCCGTGGGAGCCCAGCTCTGAGCCCCGGGGGTCCCAGCCAGCAATGCTCTCCCTTTCCTTTCCGGCGGCGAGGCCCAACCTCTGCCACAGATTCCTTGGTCACCGCGGCTATGCCAGGAATGTGGACGCCTCCTCCCAAATGGAGACCAGCTGCCAGGGCCGGCAGCATCTCCGGCAGCATCGTCTGAGCCCTGGGCCACAAGAGGAGGGAGCGGCCTCCTGGTCTGGGCTGGGCTGGGAAAGGCTTGCAAGCCCCGAGTGCTGTCCTGCCCCAGCCCAGCCCCTCCAGTGCTCAGCCACCAAACTCTGGAGTATCCTGTCCCCTCCTGGACCCGTTATGTGCTGGGGCCGTGAGTCCCCAGGGATCCTGGACACAGGGAGACACTGGGATGGGCACTGTCCAGCCTGGCTGGGTGCTATGGAGATGCCCCGGCTCCAAAGGGGAGTTTGACCAGTGCAGGACGCCGGATCACCCTCATGACAYCACGTGTGTCCCGGCCAGGGGATTTCAGTCCCACCAGCTGATTTTCTGGAGCGTGAGCAGCTCGGGCCAGTTCCTCTTCCCTCCCCACGRCCAGCACAAGGGTTTCCCAGGGCACGGGGGGAGTACAGGGGACCCACAGAAATCCCCCCACAGCCCACCCTGCGAGGGTTGCACAGACTGGGACTGTGGCACTGGTTTAACTGGTTCCCAGCGGGTGATGTCACCTCGCTCAGACACACCGGGGCAGTCGGACTGGCTCTCGTCTTGCTGAATCAACGCGAAGCACCGGGAACACGCAGCAGCGAGGCCCCGGTGCATCAGCATCACCCGCTCCATCCCTGGGCAGGTCGGGGCCCGTCCGCTCCGTTACGAAATGCAAATCCCCTGCGAGGCCAGGTAAGGAGCGCCCGGCCACGGCCACCACGTCCTGCAGCCCCCAGACACGGCCACCACGTCCTGCAGCCCCCAGACACGGCCACCACATCCTGCAGCCCCCAGACACGGCCACCACGTCCTGCAGCCCCCAGACACGGCCACCACGTCCTGCAGCCCCCAGACACGGCCACCACATCCTGCAGCCCCCAGACACGGCCACCACGTCCTGCAGCCCCCAGACACAGCCACCACATCTTCCAGCCACTGCCGTGCCAGCTGTGTGCCCGTCACCACTTGTCACTTTTCCTGCTCGAGTGGCCCCAGGCAGGACACAAACTGGTGGCCACCTGCCCCGGGGTGACCACGGCTCAAACTCTGCACGCCTGGGGCCAGGCACAGCCACTGACCACCCGGAGATGCTGTGCCCCCTGTGCTCCCCGGCCAGGCAGAACCCCCGTGCTCTGTCAAGGGGCAGGAGGGTGCTGGCAGCTCCCTGCACCCCGCAGCACCCGATTCCCTCCCAGGGGTGCAAACAGCCCAGATGGAGGATCCCATTCCTCCTTCCCCTTCCGGCCCCGGGGCAGATCCGCGGGAGAGTCACCGGAGTGAAAAACCCCATTCCCAGGGGACGCCGCCGGGTCGGAGCATCCCGCTGAGTGATGYAGAGCTGCCGGGAAACAGAAACTGGAGAAACTTCGTGGTAGGGAGCGCCAGGGGATCGAGTCCATCGCCCCCAGCCCCGGGAGTGACAGGAACGGTGCCCCGCGGTTTGTCAGGGGCAGCGGGGCAATAGCAGCCCCCGCACGAGAGACACGTTCAGTGCCCAGGACYCCTCCCAGCCCCGGTCCCTCAAGACACCTCCCCGGGACCCTGCTCAGGGCACCCCGAGACCGGGAGCTCAGSTTCGGCATCCCCAGCCTTCAGACACTCCGCTATACCGGGCTCCAAAGATCCGCATCCTCCCGGATTCCCGGGATCCCTCAACTTCTCCACTCTTCGCCAACTCTTCATGCCTGGGGCACACCGGAAACCCCCCGGCTCTCCAGAACCCGGGATGCAACCGGGACGCCTCAGCGGCACCGGGATGCCCGGCTCTCCTGGGCCACCACGAGCACCGGCAGCCACAGCTCCCGGTGGCCCCGGTATCCCCCAGCCCCCGCTTCGCCCCCGTCCGGTGGTCCCGGTACCGCCCGGCCCCGCCGAGGCTCACCCGGTTCTTGACTTCGGCGGAAAGGCCGTAGGACGGGCCCTTGTTGAACTGGGAGCTGCTCATGGCGGGGAGCGGAGCCGGTACCGGAGCAGGGAGCGGGCAGCGGGGCCGGTACCGGAGCGGGGTCGGGCGGGGCGGGGGCGGGTCCGGCCCGGCCCACGCGCCTTGATTGGAAGGGAGAAATGTCCAAATATGGACAGGAGCGGCCGGATCGAGGGGAGGGTCCCGAACCCCGACASTGCGACCCGGGGGCACCGGGAGGCACCGGGAGTGCGGGGGAGCACTGGGACCGGGCTGGAGCGGAGCCGGAACCGGGGCCGTACCGGGCCCACGAGCACAGGGCGCACACACGCATCCGCCCACGGGCACACGCACACGCCGACAGACGGGCACACGCGTGTGCATCCCCTGCACAGATGTGGGCACCCCGACCCACGGGCACGCACACACCCGCACCCCCGACCCATGAGCGCTACCCGAAACACGCACCCACCCACTCAGGCATCCACTCAC